AAGCGAGAATCGATTAAAAAAGAATTAGAAATCATCAACGCAGCATTTTATTGCGGATTATGCGATAAGCAATATACAAAGATAACGGAATATGAGGCACATTTGAGCTCGTATGATCATAATCATCGAAAGGTAAGGAATCAATTCGCCTTCATGAAATCATGGTCAGCAAGTTAAAACTTGATGTATCTACTTCCGTCTTTCATAGCGATTTAAGGAGATGAAGGAGAGTAATCGTCCTTCAACAAAGTTGGATAAAAAACGCGAAAAAGAACGGAAGAGGGAAGAGAAAGAATTGGCCAGGATGCAACAGGCAGCGCTACAGAGAGCTAACAAACAATCATCTTCTGGCGAATCTCCTGTTATTAGTGGCGAGATGACTAGCACCTCCAAAGTTACCGACGATGTTAGCACAAAGGCCTTGAATGGCGGAACGAATCGTATCGACACAAAATCGGATAGTTTGGGTGTTGGAAAACTTGAAGAGGAAAATTATTATCATGCGACGAGTACCGCAAAGCGCAAAGCCTTGGATAGCGAGAAGATCGCCGAGGAAACTGAAGAGGAACGCCTAAAGAGACAGGTTTTGACCTCAATCAATTTTTTTCTATCTTTTTCTTTTTTTTCTGTTCTTTTCCTTCTGAATGGTGATTCTCTTGTAAAGTCCAAGGTTCAAAAGCGAGAATCGATTAAAAAAGAATTAGAAATCATCAACGCAGCATTTTATTGCGGATTATGCGATAAGCAATATACGAAGATAACGGAGTATGAGGCGCATTTGAGCTCGTATGACCATAATCATCGAAAGGTAAATGAATTAATTCGCCTTCACGAAATTATGATCAGCAAGTTAAAACTTGATGTATCTACTTCCGTCTTTAATAGCGATTTAAGGAGATGAAGGAGAGTAATCGCCCTTCAACAAAGTTGGATAAAAAACGCGAAAAAGAACGGAAGAGGGAAGAGAAAGAATTGGCCAGGATACAACAGGCAGCGTTACAGAGAGCTAACAAACAATCATCTGGTGAATCTCCTGTTATTAATGGCGAGATGACTAGCACCTCCAAAATTACCGACGATGTTAGCACAAAGGCCTTGAACGGTGGGACGAATAACGGAGGTTGGGCAACGGTGATTGAAGCTGGTACTTCCTCCGTCAGCACCGCTCTAGGTGACGACACGCGCGCGAAGATTGCCAATACTACGAGCGGGTGGGTTGCGACGACCGTACTAGAAAAAAAACAACCGGATTTCCCCACTTCAAAAGAACCTGAATCAACAAAATCAAACAATGGTAATTGGGTTTCCTCGATAACATCATCTCTAGAAACGAAAGGTGAATCACCTGAAACGGATAACAAATGGTCGTTGGCTGTCGGTAGTAATTCGTCAAAATCAAAATTCGTTTTTGGTATCAGCAAGGCTAAAGGAGAACAATCAGAGGTGATTATCTTGACGAATTTAGGAATTTATGATCATCAACCATTGCTAACACTTCATCTTCCACTACGATATCAGGTTCAAAAGTCTGCTTTTAAATTTGGTTTCAAAAAAAAATAATTACGCGTTTTTATTCTTAAAATTTCCGCCGCCTCCATAACGCAGATCCAGTTTTATTTATTAATATCTAATTTGACTGACAATCCATAAATCGCATTATCTGTATTTCTTTAGGACTCCACATTCCGTGGTAAATTTTAATAAATTTAAATCGGTCATTGTATTTTTGGTTTACCTCATCTGTGTCGCGCCCATAAAAATTCACGTGTAACGGATAATATGTACAGTATATATCTTCTGAATATATATTACACAAAAACTCAAGATATCAAAGGAATTTTCAATTTTAATCACGTGTATATTTACGAAGACCCCTGTGTACAGAGCGAATACAGTTCACAACAATACCTTTTTTAGAAGGCTGCCGCAGAAATTATCGGATCCCGATCGTCATTAATCATTCTTTAATTTTTCCCTCAACTGAGAATGAGTTCCAAGGATAAAAGGCCTACTAAGAGACTAAGAAAATCGTCCGGTAGGTCTATTAAAGTAACTGAAGGACCTGAACAAGTTCAGGAGAATGTTAAAAAGGAAGAAACCACTGAGGAAGATAATTCTATTTATTCTAGAATGTGTATGTATTATTTAAATAATAAATATATATATATATATATACTTTTTCAAGCCCTTTTTATTTTATGCTTTATTTTTTTAGTCGCGGATCGGGGTCCTAATAAGCGCAAAATAAAACTAAGGGCTATTGCCGAACAAATGATTGAAGATGCCGATCCTTGTGATTCCGACTACCAATACGTTCACGAAGAAAGCAGTGACATCGACGACATAACAGACACTGACGACACGATTGTTAGCGACAAGCAACCTGAGGAAGTTGATCCCAATGCTCAAACTGGAACCAACAACAACACTCAACAAGGATTTCGGGACGACAGGGTGAAAGAGTACTTGAGAAAATGGGTGCGTCAAAAATTTCTCATCACGATTAATTATATTCGTTCATTGTAAACGTGAACATCGTCACTGAGGTTATATATATATATATTCTCATCAGAAACTTGATGATCCGGGAGTTTGCTGCATATGTCTCGAAGGATCCACAACCGAAGAAAATATGCTTGTCTATTGTGACGGGGATGACTGCGAAGTCGTCTGTCATCAAGGTAAATAAAAGTTCCCCCTTCTTTCTTGGTAATGTAAGATCCCAATTGCATTTTTGTCATATTCACAGAGTGTTACGGGATTGTGCATTTACCGGCTTCCGATGAACCATGGTATTGCGATAGGTGCTTGGCAAAACCTTCAGAAACGGTGGTAAGCAAAAAACAAACAAACAAATTTTTCAAAGTTTTCTTTGCCTAATTTTCCTGAAAAGTTTTACGATCGTGATTTTTACGATAGATATGTGCACTCTGCCCGAGGAAGACGGGCGCATTCCGCAGGATGAAAGAAGGAGATGCGGCTGGAACATGGGTTCATGTGGTGTGCGC